CGTCGTCGTCGTCGTCTTCGTCGTCGTCGTCGTCGTCGCCGCCGCCGTCGTCGTCGTCGTCGTCGTCGTCGTCGTCGTCGTCGTAGTAGTCATCGTCGTCTTCGTCGTCGTTGTCGTTACCGTCGTCGTCCTCCGAAGAGGAAGAACAGTGTCTTGGCCGATACCGTGCGCGAAGGTCGCGCGAGCAGCCAGACCGAGGTGCCACGATTGTATTACGCGTATTACCATCGCCGACCGCCACATCTGTTCATCCGTCATCCGCACTTGGATCTCTCCAGTAAGGGATCCTTCGGATTCTTTCTCTCCAGAATATCCCGTCGCTCTCCGACGATCTTGTGTCGCGAGTTGTGTGAACGACGTAACGACACTTTGCGACCGTGCCGCATTCAGGCTCAATTGATAAATAACCCGATCGACAAACGCCGCGCGCCTGCTACTTTCCTCTTTTTCTACTTTCGTGTCATTTTAGTCAGTTTTCCCCACTTTCGGTCCGAGACCACCACACTGACCCACCACCCCCTCCTATTCCCTGTTCCGAATCCTGACATGCCCGGTACGTCATCGTCGCCGTCTCAACAGTGTTTCGTCGCGATCGCACACGCCTCGATCCCCTCTCGATTTCCGGTGTGGTATCATGTGCTTCGGTAAGAATTTCAGCGAGAAAAAACGAGAGATGAGATTTCGCGGATCGGAGAAGGGACAAAGGGACTCTCGGACGCCGCTGTGAAACGCCGCGTTGAAATCGGTCGCCCGAATCACCAGCTCGATACTCGTGGTCGCGAAATTACACGGCGAACAATAAACGTAACGAATCGCCACGTCGCGAGTAAACGAGTTAGCGATTATGCGAATATCCGCGTGCGTGATCATTTTGGGCCGTTAATTCGACAGTGCCAACAATGTCCGTCACGTAAACCTAGCGCACGTCGCAACAAATTATTTGGCATTTCATTGACATCGTCATCAACCACATCGGCCTATTCATCGCTCGGTGTCAGCCTCTATTAAAAATTCGACCGCGTGTTCGGAAATCATTCGGGAAATAATAATAAATTCGACAAATATATAAAATCTTGTTTTGACAAACGCGCGATAACTGACGGAGGAAAAATTGCGGGATCGCGCGAACGCGATTCTACGTGTGGACAGCCGGGTGTCATGGTGTGACATCGCGGTATGACATCGCGGTATTCGCATAGTGACGTTACGTCGATGTAAATCACACTTTACGTTACATTTCTAAGAATATTCAGTGTGCTCCGAACATTTAGTTTTATTCTATTCACTGTACTCTGATTTATTGTTTATTGTTACACTGGCGTTATTTTTATTTGAATAAATATTTGATTTATCGACATGTTACTCTCTTTCAGTTGCAATCCTTTTCAATTCGCCATACCAATCCTGAATTTTTTCAGCATTACGTATCTCGAATCTTTATCTTTTCCGCGTTGTCGGGTGCGGAGCAACGGCTACGCGACGGTAAAAGACACTCACGCGTTGCGCTTTCGAGCCGGCTGACTTTGTTTTTTCCTAAAACGCGAAAATAATAAGAAAATGCACGTCAACGACAATTCGGCGTTTAACGAAAAAAGAGGGTATAAATTTGTGCAACATTAAATTATCGACACGAGAACTGGATGTGTCAAATGGACGAAATTTACTATGCCGCGTAATTAGTGCGTGCTTCTGACAGTGCTGGTTGAAATTATTGTTTGTGTCGCGGCCGGAAGTGTAACCCTTCGTGAATGTTGAGAGAGAATCGCGTTTAATATTACCTCGTCATAAGACAATAAAATCTCGAGGCTAATATCTTTCGGATATCGTGAAATTTTATTAGAATTCTTCTAATTCGATTTACGTCGCGTTATTCGACACTCGATATTTTCGCGCTGCGACAGCTGATTTTAGGCAGTGTCATCTAGCAAAAATCAATGTTTTATACAACGTCGCTCTCATTCTACCGAGAGAGAGGAGAGAGAGAGAGAGAGAGAGAGAGAGAGAGAGAGAGAGAGAAAGAGAGAGAAAAGAGCGAGAGAAAGAGCAAGAATCGGAAAGAAAGCTCGACAGAGAGAACCCCGCGCTCATACATATATATTTCAGTGTGTTCAAAAAACGAGTGTACCTAAGTGCAATATTAATTAAACCTAAACGATAATAAGAAGCAACCACAACTACCATCGACGATATCGGTAACGACGAGCGGTGATCGATAATCGAATAGAATTCCTTTTAAAGAGTTAAAACGCTAGAGTCGCATTTCGAGGAGGAGTCATCGACGGACGCGACGCAGCCGCTTGGAAGAAGAGGAAGATCGGAGGAAGCAGGCGGAAGCAGAGAAACGGAGTGACGGAAATCCCGGAGAGAAACGCTCTCGTCCCGCTTAAAAGAATTCACACAGACTCACCGACTTCAGGCCGACGCGCGCGACAGCCGACATCAACTTTTCGAGCCTGTTCGTGCGCGTTCGAGCACACGCACACACACACGCACGCACGCACGCACACACATACACACACGCACACACACACACACACACACACATACACACACACACACGCACGCACGCACATCCAACATAACGGGGCTAAAATACTCAGGGCAAAACGGGACGAGCGGTAATCATCCGCGAGTGCGATTTCTCACCCCGAAGAGGAGCGGAAGCCTTTCCGACCGACAAACAACTCGCGTCCGCGTGGACTATCCTTCTCGTTCACACCGTCCGGGCTGGGCAATCCTGAATTTTAACCTGAACTTAAGTGTACGCTAGAGTTTAAGTTAGATAGACGAAGGAAAATAGACCGTTTTCCTATTTATTGGAGAACGTTCGCTCGCGCGCGCAACAACTCACGCAAAGCACACATATAAAGCACATACACAAATATAACACACGAACATCTCGCCGCACACATTCAAACGCAATCTACACACAGAGGAGGGGAAGAAGAATAAGAGGAAGAAAAAGAAAGAAGAGGACCATCGACCGCAAAAATCGCCGAAAAGCGATCGAACGCAAACGTACGCGGCACGACAGCTATTCGAGTACGTAAGAAGCCATCACGATAAAAGACGCATTACGGATGTACAACCACTGATCGGCGGTGCACCAGCGAAAGGCATCGCACCCGACAGCGACAGCAACGATATAGGGAAGGCGCGATAAAGAAAAGGAGACTCGGGAGAGGACCCGGAAGAGGGAGTGGAGGAATCATAAGAGGAAGTTTCATGAGCCAGGCGGTAGGTAGCAGGGCCGGGAAGTCGCAGCAGGTGGCGAGTAACTGACGTTGCCCGCCGCCCACGTCGAAGCTCGGCGCGGCGCGAGGATCGTTATCGTTACGACGATCCCGAGGCTGAAAGCAGCGGCCGAGCGAGGAGAAAGGTAGGAAGGAACGGCGGCGAGCGCAGAGGTGTGCCGGCCGTCGAGCTGCTTACCGGAAGGGGTGCGAAAAAGCGGGCAAGCTGCGCCGGAAGGGGGTAGCCCGGGCTTCTCGCGAAGGCCTCAAAATTTCGGACGCGACGGCGGCCCTGGACCTGCGTGCCCAGACGCAAGCCCAACCAGACTTCGGCCAGCTAGACCACCAGCAGCCGCAGCATCACCATCAGCAACAGCAGCCGCCGCAGCAGCAACAGCAGCAGCCGCAACAACAGCAGCAGCCGCAGCATCCGCAGCAGCACAACCAAAATCCAGAGTCGCGTCCTCACCATCACCTGCCACAGCAGCATCATCATCAGCATCACCCGGGGAATCATCTCCACTCTGGCGATTCGGGGGGTGGGATAGGAGGTGGAGGAGGAGGCGGCGGTGGAGGAGGTGGCGGCGGCGGCGGAGGTGGCGGTGGAGGAGGTGGCGGCGGCGGCGGAAGCGCCGGTGGTGTTGCTGTTGTTGCTGGCGGAGGACCGCCCGGACCCGAGCCGGACCGGTCCGCGAGAATTCACGACGAGGAGGACGAGGACATCACCGAGCGGGAGGACGAGGAAGAGGACGAGGATCCTTGCAGCTCGCCGGAGCCCGACCTTGAAAACGAATCCGAACCCATGGAGATCCAAGCCTCAGCTGTCACCGCGGCGGCCGCGAACCTCCACGCGCTACGCCAGCACGTATTTAAGATGTCGGATTACTGGCAACAGCCGCAACGCGGTCCGCCTCAACATTCACCCGGCATACAGCATAGTCCCATCTCGAATTCGACGCAGCAGCAGCATCAGCAGCAGATCCAGCAGATGCACAGTCCGCTCGGGCAGCAGCAACAACAACAGCAGCAGCAACAGCAGCAGCAGCAGCAGCAGCAGCAGCAGCAACAGGCCGCGGTTTCGCAAGTACAACAGAACGCGAACGCGACCCTCCAGACTGCGAGTCCTCAGCAACAGATGCAGCAACAACAGCAGCATGCGTTGTCGATGAACCAGACTAATCAGGGACCGCAACATCAGTCTTCCCCAGCGCCAACGACGCCGTCGCCGCAGGCGGATCATCAGGGTGCCATTGCCTCTAGCATGGCCCAGAGTTTGCATAGCCTTGCCCAGGCGCAGCAGACCATGTCGCAGGCGTCGAGTCCGTCACTGGCGGTTCAGGCCGTCCAGGCGGCTCAGGCGCTCAATCAAAATCTGGGCCAGGCGCTAACCCAGGCGCTTACGCAAAATATGCAACAAAATCTCGGACAAACCCTGCAACATAATTTGGCGCAGAGCTTAACGCCGAGTTTATCACCGCAACAGCAACAACAACTGCTCAATCAACCGCAAAATCTGAGCCAGGCGAGCCAGAGCCTGCAGCAAAACATCCAGAGTCAGGCGCAGAACTTGTCCCAGACGTTGCAACAGCAAGCGCAAAATCTCACGCAGAACCTTGGCCAGGCGCTTAACCAACAGGCGCTGCAACAACAGGCGCAGAATCTCACGCAGAATCTGCAGCAGGCGCAAAACCTCACGCAGAATCTGCAGCAGCAGGCGCTCAACATGGCCGGTACCATCGCGCAGAACGGCGGTCTCGCCGGTATGAATATGTCGAATCAGCAGCAGAACTCGCAAAACTCCATGCTGAGTCCGGGCGCGACCAGCCAGGATTCCCACGACGCCACGCTCACGGAGAAGCTCGTCAACGAGTTGCAGGTGAGAAGCTGCGGGACGGGCCGGAGCCCCCTCCCCCGAGTTTTACATTCGCGATCCCGGAGAGACGAAGAGAAAAAGTTCGCCTCCGTTCCACGTGCACATTACGCGCGCATGCATATCTTTTTCTATTATCGTCCGCGCGCGAAAGAGAGAGAAACGGACGAGTGTCTCGCGACTCTCCGCGATCCACCGCGAGGAGAGCAGCGATAAATAACTAGGGCGAGGCGACCGCGATAAAAATACATAACGCACCGATAAATAGGGTCATTCACTTGCACGCCGACAGACGCCGGACAATACTTTCGAGAGCGAGGTTTCTCTCCTCGCGGGGAAAAATATTTATTCAACGACGCTGTCGTCTCGCGACAGCGTCGACAGGGCCCTAAGTATCGCGAGATATCAAGGTCTCTCCTACATGTCGGCGCTCATTCGTGTAAATAGCGTAGGTTTCAACGTTTCAACGCGAAAGTTCGTCGTCCCGCGGAAAAATGGGGCGCCAAGTTGGAACGTGTGCGTTACTAATGCAAATTCTCGCTGAACGACATACCAAACGCCGCTTCTAATTTATCGCTCAAGTAGCGCTGCTTGCAAACAACGTTCACGCAGAAAATCAGCGGAATTCGCAAAGTCCGCACGCCGACCGAAATCCGAATGCCGATGGCTTTTACGTTAATTTAGCGTCATCTTAGCGCGTTACAGAGTCACATGTCATCGACAATTTCGTCGGTTTGATTACGCGACTGTACCCAGATACTGACCACGGTTCGCACAGATACACAGACGCGCGTACACGCATACATGCACACGAATAGAGTACGTTGACTTACTACATCGTACCAACTTACACGTTCGTACACGCGGAAGAGGGAGAGAGTATGCGAGTGGAGTGAGAGTGAGCGAGAGAGAGAGAGAGAGAGAGAGAGAGAGAGAGAGAGAGAGAGTAGTAGAGAGAGGGTGTGAGAGAGAGAGAGAGAAGGGGGGGGAGAAAATCATCGTATCTCTCGACAGATAGCGGAACTTTGAGATCGCGTTAGTGTATCTGAACATCGGCGATTTGTAATTAGAAAGACTATAAATATCGCTCGTGAGAAGAAGCGAGAGGACCTTAGTTACAATACGTATGGAAACGTTTCGCGTGAATACACGAAAATCTCGAAGATTATTGCTAATAATTTTTGTAGAAATTGTCTGTTTTGCATTTTGTCGAATGATCATTAACGCGAAAATTAATATTTAATTATACATACATCCGATTTAATTTACATACACCCGATCGCCCTCGATCGATACGTAAGCTCTATAAGTACCTCTATGCGTGCCCACATACGAGATAGAAATACTTGTTCCGTCACGCCGGCTTCTCGGCTTGTCATTGCCACGGCGGCGAACGCGTTGTTTTTATACTCAAAAGTAGTTCCGTCGGAACTACCGTCCGGCGAAAAGAAGCTTTGTAGTAGAGACGGTTAGTAGCGCCTATAAGGGACGACGAGGACCGAGGACTAACATGAGCTATCCTATCTTGCCTGATAGTCTCGTGCCTCTGCGGCGGGGCTTGGAGGTGCAGTAGGTGCCGGCGGTGGTGGAGGAATGGGCAACATCAGCGAACGCACCCTCGAGGAATGCTGGTCCACCCTGCAGCGAGTGAGTTGAACACTCAGCCCGTTCACAAAATCCCTTTTATTAATGCTCTCTCTCCTTGCCCGTACGCAACCACACCTTAAGTTCCTCCCGCTTTCTCTCGCCGACGGCCGGGGGATTTTCTCTCTCGCTGCCGTCGTTTCTTCCCTTTATATTTCATTTAATTTGTCCGTCCTTGCACGTTGCAGACGCGCTGCGTCTCTCTCGTTTCGCTCATTGACATTATTTTTCTTTCGTTTATCGACGCTCAGTTCGCCATTCAATTCGCTATTCAGTTCTGCCCGATTATGTGATTCCGCTTCCGCGCGAATCCCTCTGGCACGTCTCGCGTCATCGTTTCCGTCTCTTCGTTTGCATCTCGTTCGCTTTGCTCACTTATCTCTGTTGGTTATTTTTTATCTTGATGTTATCTTATATACGTATATATATATATATTTTTTTTGTCTCTTTCTACCCGCTGGCATGCGTATCGTATGTGTATCGCCGTTTCGTTTTGTACCTCGTCGACTGAATGTGTCGCCTTGTTCCTATGTGCATTGTGAAATAATCTTACTTACTCGTAACTGACCGCCAGCGGCGGTTCGAACGATCCTCGTTCTCGCTCGCGCTCGTCACTAACGAGCGCGTCGTTACATCACGGAGATTTAACGAATGACGCGCGGTATGCGGCGAGAAATGTGCGTTTCACGCCGTAACATTTAACATTCGTGTCACGCGACGCGAGAAAGTACGTACATCGATAAAGCGGCAATTTTTCGGTCGACTGACCAATTGCGCTCGTAGTATTCGATCAACTTGCGTCGCAAATGACGCGAGATGCGGCATACCGGCTCCCCCCACCCCCCCACGCGACGTTGTGCCAACGTTGCAAGCACGAAAGTACAGGAAAAGAAAGCGGCACTAACGAGCTCCGAATTACGTTAAACTGTCGTCCGATGAACGGAGCGTGAGGTCCTCTGGGTGAGAGAGGACAGCGCGGTAAAAAGGCGGGATACTTTCCCCTTCCTGCTGGAAAACTTTAAAATTCTCCATCTCAGGACGAAACAACAATTTGTTTCGTTAAGTAGCCGCAGCGCTCTTTTGTTTTTGCGGCTTCTTTTATTTTAGCGGCGATAGCGGCGGCGGTCGGAGTGACGGCGGAAAAGGTAACAGGAAGAGAGATGGAGGGAGGCGAGAGGGAGGGGGGGGATGCAGAAGGGGGTTGGCAGCACCTCCGTCCTCCCGCCGTGTTCCACCTCGCGTCCTTCCTTTTCTTCCATCGCCACCTTAAAAGCCGTCCCGCGCCGCGCTCGCGCGAAGCGAAACTTTCGGAAAATCGCAAAAACGCCGAGCGATGGCGAAGTTTCCACGTTTCCCTGAGATTTAATTAAAACATTCGCCTCCTTTGTGCCGTCCCCACGCACCATTCGCCGACCGAGCCGTCGAAGCGAGCCATCGTCTTTTTATTCTATCCAAACGACAAGAATTGATACGAGTATCTTCGATAGATCGGATTTGATTCTTGGCTCTTGATCCTTAAGACCCCTCATTGATCTGCTACGGATTTTGTTCAATGCTGCTAAATCAGTATTTAAAAAAGAGACTGCTGCATACTATACAGACAAATTGTTACGAAAATATCTCAAGAAGTCACGTGTACTTTAATTAAAAATTTAACAGAATTGTTTAATTAAGGTTGATAAAAATAATACACACGCGAGTGCGTTCAACCGTTGTCTCTGACAATGACGCCGGTCTAAAAAAATTTCGAGACACTTGAGGATTTATTGTGAGCTCGTGGGAAAGACGAAGGGTTCCGCGGAGTGGAGAGGATGTGACGAGTGCGACGCGATATTACATAAACATTCGCGGAGAACCGTTCTCAGGACCGGGGGTGCACCCGCGTTTTTTGTTCTACCTCGCGCGCTACCTCGAAAATTAAAATCCAATTATTTCGACGCCTCTGCTCAACCCGGGTCGGCCGATTCAAATGAATTTTTTGCCCGCGCTTCTCCCCAATTCGCTCTTTCAACGCGCGTTAAACCGGTTCGTTCGGCGCAACGACCATCGCCAAGTTGCATCCAGACCACGATCCACCCTTGATCGATTCGGCACTACGGATTTCGGATTGAGCTGACAGCTGCTAAGAGAAACCAGAACCGTATAAGGAAAGAAAGAGAGGATGGGAAAACGCGAGAGAAAGGAAAATTCGAAAAAGACCGAATTGCTTTCTAACGAAT